GTGATTATATGGAAAAAATAAAAAAATACACATTTCTTCGTCATTTAATTGACAAAAAGGCTTCGGCCGCCATTTTGAAAATCGCTTAGGTGATTATCGCGTAATAATCACCTCAACGGCAACCAATCAGCGTGGAGAATTCGTCAATAATCACCTATGTAATTATACTATATATATATATATATATATATATATATATATATATATATATATATATATATATATATATATATATATATATATAAACCTCAAAAGGTTGCCACAACAGCCTGTTTCATCCAAAAGGAAACCAAGAGGATCTACCTGATGATTCCTCTTGCATGGATTAAACAGGCTGTTGTGGCAACCTTTTGAGTTAAAACAGTAATATCTGCTCTATCTATATGATATCGAGCACTTTTTAGCATTTTGCTAACCAAACCACATAACTACTAAATAGTTTCTTACCACAAGATATCACTTTTCAGATAAATTGACCTATAATTACATCAATTTATCTGAAGAGTGCCACACATTGTGGTACGAAACTATTTAGTAATAAAGATGCCTATAGTGGATTTTGTTGATTTGTTGTACCTTATACCGTGGATAAGGTACTAGCTATGTAGAAGTGGCTAGGAAACTTCCTGACATCACAGTCTAAACCTAGTTGCAATCTGTGACGTCACGCATACTGCCAAAGTTCTCAACAATTTCATTGTTTCGCTATATTTTCCGCTTTAAAAGAGTAATATTGAAGCATAAACTGGTCTAATTATTTTAAAAACATGCCTAAGCCACGACAAAGTATTCAAGGTCAATGTTTTTCGTCTTTGTTTTGTATTCTTTTTACATTTGTAGCTACGAAATTGGCGTCGCCAATTTTAACGAAATTTGCGATGCATTTTTCACTGTTTAGTGCTTGAAATATTTGCTAAAATTGACTGGAAGTACTTACAGATTTCATCGTAGAATGGCGTAGTTATATTTATTTGCTCTTTGACTAAAATGTTTAGCTGTATTATTGCTAAACATGCCGTTTTTGAGAATTTGGTTTGCAACTAGGCTTGGACATCTAACCACGCCATCAGTCCATTGAAAACATCAGATCACGTCAGCTAGTTTCCTATCCATTTATTTTACAATCCATGCTTATGCATATATATAGCGAGAATGATCAGTCCATATAAGTGTTGCTGATTTTTGTTTTATTGATTATTGTACGTGTCGATTGATTAAATAAGTGCTTGATTGTTTGTGTAATTGGTTAACTGATAGATGATAATGATTATTATGGGGCCGGTTGTGTTAGTTGCAGTTAACTGTATACGCTGTGTCACATACCTTAAAGTAATATAAGGTATGTTAACTTTTGCGCGATTGTTTGTTCCCGCATACCTTAAATCTTCAGTTTTCGGGATTTAATTTGTTCAAACCTGTCAAAAATTCTTTCGCATTATCGGAATTTGAGCCGGACCATTCTAAAAAGTAAAAGTCTTAATTTGCTATGTTACTCATTCTAATGTAACTAAAATATTGCATCTTTTATACATTGTTCTAGTTTTTATAGCTTTTGAAATATATGATATTGGAAATATATGTGATTTTGAATCATGTGCTATGGTTTGGTGGGTCGTTAATCGTGGCGGAACTGGAATTTTATATTTTCGTGGTGACAACAATCTTGAGCAAAAAATTAAAATTTACCCAAACGCTAACAATTTATAACGAGTTTTGAAAGGTTTGAATGAATTTCATACATACAGTGTTTCTGTATATTTATACAACCGGTCCCTGTAGATTAGAAAATATGGTTTTAGCTGTAAAAATATTATGTAATTGTAATGTAATGCATGATGGTGTAATGAATGCAGTGTATAAAGGCAGTATGAATAAATATGGCATGGTTCGACATTCGGTTACATTAAGACATTTTCTTGACAATGTACTGAAAAAACGAAATTTTTCCATTGATAATTACCGACTGTATGACTAAATAAACAGGACTTGCGGACAAGGACTGGCGCTAGTCGTCAAATTAATGGCCATTTTCAGATAAAAATTCCAAATTCATTACGCACTTAGACGAATGTTTTCCGTTCTCAAAATGACAAAAATAAGGAACGCGACCCCGATCGATGCAAGCTCCGAAATGCTGTGTATACATTTCTCTCCTGTAGAAAGACAGTCTTTAACTCTTGCTGCCTTTTTTCCGCTATTCAGACGAATCTTGGAAACACTGTCTCAAATTATAGTCAAACTATAATATGCGCTTGTACCCGTAAACGATGAATGAGAATAATAAATAAACTTATCAACAAAGATAGAACTAGCGACTGGTCATCTGAAGCCGCGTGACCACGAATCAGCCAATCACGTTTGGTGTGGTTGTTCGCATTGTTGGCTTTTAGCCAGACTCTTTGTGGCCTGTTCGTCGCTGCTCGCAGACGTTGTATTTCTTACGCTAAACGACGAAAAACTAACCACGTCTGCGAGCAGGCTAGACCTATTGTACCAGCTGAAGTTCTACAGCTAATTATGGATTTCCACGTGATTTAGTTTTTAAGTGATTAAGCCCCCCGTTTGTGGGACGCAGCAATTTTTCATGAGATTTATATAACAGCATGTACTTTAATAATACCCCAATACTTATATAGAAAGACTTTTTTACCTTTGTTAAAGGAATACCAAATGTTTCGGAAAGCGCAAAAAACACGATCCGCAGGCGAGCAACATCCCAAGTGCATGCATGGATAACGTTATCCTGCAAGGAAAAACCCGGTTAACTTTATGAAAAGTGGTACACCAAGATTCCTAAAATTATTTATATTCATGGTACTGGGAGAACGGATGTGGCCGTTGTGTATATGTAACACAGATGGGATGGACGTCAATGCCGCTTCGCCTAATTATAACCACATAAGTTAGAGAGATTGAGAAAATTACTAGTATTTGCGAAAGCAAACACAACAGTGGAAACGTGGAGGGCACTTGGAGCTAGACTGCGATTTGGAGCGGTGTGGACGTATACTTTTGAACTGCTGAATTTTACAAATTTTTACTGAAATTATATCAATAATTTTACTGTTTTAAAAAAAGCTAACAAAACATTCAGCAACAACAGAAGACTGGGGGACGTATTTGAAACGAATTTGGACAATTTCTGGCGCTAAAAAGTGCGAAAATTGTGTCCATAACATGACATACATAAACAGACTCGGCGGTTGACTGCTCAGACATGGCTGCAGTACAGACTGCTCAGACAAATTTTACATTTGAAAACATTGATGTAAATTCAATAAAGCTCTTAAATAAACAGTCTTGTTTAATCTACGATAGTTGTCGTATAAAGTGGGCATGGGTCTTGATGCATTGAAAAAATTTGTCGAAGATGTTGTCAGTTTATCGGGAATTTGGAAATCACCTGGAGGCACAGCTAAACAGTCCCAATGTAGTGACTATGATCTCACCCTAACTTGGTATCCGGGGAAACAAAACACGATAACATTTCATGGGAAAGACAGTGAAATGCTGAAACAAGTCTTGATGCTTTTACTGAGTAAACCCAGAGATAAACAAGCGACCAATATATTGCCCGTGAATAGTGTGCCCACAACCGATGTGGCACGCCACAACCGATGTGGCACAACCGATGTGCCCACAACCGATGTTGCGGCTGAGAAACCTCATTGTAGTAATTAATTGCGAGGATATGGCGATTAAGCTATCCGAAATTGAGAGGAAACTGTGCGGTTTGTATGATATAACTTATAAAATATATAATTCTGTTAGCGATTCGACAGCGATAGGTGATGATTTGAGCCAAACGTAACAAAACACACAAGCAATCCATAGTGCTCAACATGTCATAGTGCCTGAAGTCAACCCGACTATACAAAATAGGGAGCTTAAGCATGTAGGACGGCAACACGACGACGACGGCAACCAATACAATGAGTCAATGAAAAGTGAATAAATAATTAAAGTCCCAGGGGGAGATTCAGACGTGGTCGTAGCTCTGTTTACAACGGCAAATCACAGATTTTCACGTCTTTTGTACATCGCCTGCATTTCAAGACGTGCCAAGTGCAACTTAAATTCCGTTCAGTAGAACTCTTCCCAAACATAAAGCCAATATTTTCAACTTCTTATACTGTATTAAATTCATACGAATTATAATATACGACAAGTTATCTTTACTATCATTTATTTGAAGGAATTTGTTTTGGCCGTCGTCATCGTGTTGCCGTCCTACATGCTTAAGCTCGCTAATATCTCACCGCTGCCTACCATGAGAATTACAACTGATGCCAAAACAACACCAAAGGTCCAAACTGCCTCGTCATATCCTATGCTAAAAAATACAAAGAAGAATTCCTTTCCGGTAGACTGGCTGGGAAAGTTGCCCCTCATTGAAGGAAAACATAAACTGCAATTCGTTAAGTTCTTAAACAATAAACATGTTTAATGGTCAAAAGGAAAAGCACTTCGTACACGCATCAAAAACAGTACGTTGCACCAGATGAAATCGATGATCATTTTTTGAGGCTCATTTGGAAAAAACGGAGTCGGCTAACGCGCAATCGTTGTCACAAACAGGATTGGCTCAACCACTTGAAGCTGGTTCAACGCATGATGAAGTGATAAAAATGCCAATTCAGGTTATAGAATCACCTTACGTATATCTTCTCAGCGTACAGTATACCACAAGAGATCATACAACGGTCAACTCGTTCCAGTTACGAGAAAAAGTGACATTAGTATACGTACTAACAATAATTGTAATTTTTCCTGGCTTCCAAGCTACTATCTTATTAATACACGTTCGCTTTTTTCGAAAGTTGACGAACTGCAAGCGCTTTTATTTAGCAACCCTGCAGACATCATTGCTATCACTGAATCGTGGTTATACGAGGATATCTCTGATGACCTCATAGCACTTAGTGGTTATAAAATTTATCGTAATGATCGGTCGCACGCACGCGGAGGCGGTGTCTGTATTTACTTGTCGGAAAATATTCCCTGCCAGCGAAGGCTAGACTTGGAGAATTCAAGCTTCGAGTGTTTGTGGCTTTGGCTTCGTCCCGGACGCTTACCCAGACCCTTGTCGGGGATTGCTGTTTGTCTTATCTACAACCCCCCAGATCGTTCAGCTCAAGAGCTTCGTGATCTTGACCAGTATTTGATAGACACTACTGACTGCTTGCGTAATAAATATCCGGATTGTGGAATTGTTATTCTTGGAGATTTTAAAAACTTTGATTTATATAATCTAGCATCCAACCATAGCTTAAAGCAAGTTGCCATTTACCTACCAGAGGGTCTGCTATCCTTGACCTTATTGCAACCAATTTGCATAACTTGTACGAGAAGCCGTATATTCTGGCTCCGTTTAGTACTTCGGATCATAACATAGTTCACTGGCTTCCTCTTACTAAGGATGCCATAAATACTCTGACCCCCAAACCTAAGCCCATAAAGCACTTAGTGAGACGTTATCCTCGGTCTGGAATTGAGGTTTTCGGACGTTGGGCTTGCTCAAAAAATTGGTTTGACGAACTCAGCGATAATCCAGGGACGGATGAATTGGTTACCTCCTTTTCATCACAAGTGACCAATGCTCTTAATAACATCTTCCCACTAAAGACAGTGAAATTACATCACATCGACAAACCTTGGATAACCCCTTCAATCAAGCAACTTATTAAGATCGCCAAAAAGCCTTCCATAGAGGTGATAAGCGACAATGGCAACTATTGAAGTGCAAAGTGCAATCAGAAATAAAACAGAGGAAAGGAATGTTTTATAAGGATAAGATTCAGCATCTTCGTAAAGATGATTGTCGAAAGTGGTGGAATGCTGTAAATAAAATGTCCGGAAGATCAAGAAAGAACGCGAGCTTCAGTCTCGAGCGTGACGGGAAAATCTTATCTGATTCCGAATTGGTGAACAGTCTTAACAGTTTCTATACATCTGTTAATGCAGATATCCCTCCACTTGATTGCTCAGTACTGCCGGCATTCCTACCCGCTCCTGACACACCACTTATAATCGAACCTTACCAAGTTTATAAGAAACTTTGTACTCTTCAACCTTTCAAAGCATGTAGCCCTGATAATATTACACCTCGCAAATTAAAGGAATTTGCTCACGAGTTTGCAGAACCCGTTGCAACTGTCTTTAACACATCCCTAACCTCTGGAACATTTCCTGCCGGCTGGAAAGATTCGTGCATTTCCCCAATTCCAAAAGTGTCACAACCGCCTTGTGAAGGAGATACTCGACCAATCTCTCTCACCCCTTGTCTTTCCAAAGTCCTGGAGGACTTTGTTGTTCAATGGATGATGAAAGACGTCGTGAATAATCTTGACATACAGCAATTTGGTTGCTTGAAAGGATCGTCAACAGCATACTGCCTTCTCGATATGATACATAATTGGCTATTCCACCTTGACTCTCCTGATAAGCATATCCGTCTATTATTTTTAGACTACACAAAGGCCTTCGATCGTATCGGACATAATGTGCTTATTAGTAAGCTTATCGATATCGGAGTAAGGCGCTCTCTGATCCCATGGATTATAAGTTTTCTATCTAACCGTAGACAGTGTGTTAGACTTGGTGGCGCTACCTCGGACTGGTTGGCGGTTACAGCCGGTGTACCACAAGGTACAAAATTGGGACCAATCTTATTTTTGACTATGATCAACGATCTAAAGATCCCATCCCCAGGGAATACTGGTATTTGGAAATTCATAGATGATGTATCCATTTCAGAGTCCCTGTCAAGAAACAGTGAATCCCGTATGCAGAATCACCTTGATGAGGTACATGCGCTGACAACAACCTAATGAAGCTAAATCCAAAGAAATGCAAAGAGATGCACGTCTGTTTCCTCAAAGAGCGACCCATTTTAGAACGTCTCAGTTTGAGGGGACACCCCCTGGAAATCGTTTCCCATCATAAGGTTCTTGGCTTGGTTATACAGGATAATCTTAAGTGGAATGGACATATTGCCATGATTGTTAAAAAGGCCTCCAAGCGTTTTCATATTCTTAGAGTTCTTAAACGGGGTGGAATCCCACCTCATGAACTGATCCTTATTTACTATGCTCTCATTCGCTCCGTACTAAAGTACTGCTGCATTGTATGGCATAACAATCTACCAGCTTATCAAAGCTTATCTGGCGGACTCAATTGAACGAGTTCAGAAAGGAGCACTGAATATAATCCTCCCTGGCAGGTCTTACCGTGAAGCTTTGAGTCAGCTCCAGTGTTCTCGCCTAGATGAGAGACGCGATGCTTTGTGTGAAAGAACGATTAAAAAGATAACTGATGGCAACCGCCTGTTTTACCTTTTACCTCAGACTAGAGAAAACGTGAACTACGATTTACGTAACGCTAACAGTTGGTCATTGTTCAAATGTAGAACTGATCGTTTTCAGAAAAGCTTTTTCCCAAGTATGATTCGAGTTTTAAATATGTCAACATTACACTAGTTTTTGAATATCTAAACTATTACAATATATACTTTCCTCACACCTAAATTTTTAAATTGTAAATATAGTATTAAACTTATTGTATCTTTATTAACTTAGTTATATAATTATTGTAAGCAGTTTTTGTGATAGTGTGCCATTAAAAAACGCATATATATATATTGTACTATTACGCTCCTTCACTTCGGTGTTGTTGAGCACTCTGCGGAGTTGTTAATGGGTGACTATTAGCGATAATGCAAAGCTCGCTTCCCTTGTGGTCGTTTGAGCACTCTGGCCCCATTACGCTCTGCGCATGTCTGGATGCGTTGAGTCACCGTGTTGTACCACATGCCTTGGTGAGAGCAAGTTCATGGGGGTATAAATACGAGTGTCTCACGTATCTAGACGTGTACCAAGCTGCACTGACGAGGCGTTGAACGCCGAAACATGCATGTCTGCAGATTGTACTATATATATATATATATATATATATATATATATATATATATATATATATATATATATATATATATATATATATATATATATATATATATATAACAGGTGGGAAATATATCTTAGCATGCGCGAGCAAAATGAGACAAGCAATTGCGTGGAATACACGCAACGCGTGTTTACAAAAAGGCACAATCGTGTAAATATTGCCAAATGTTTGTACAAAATAAATGACTGTTTTATGTTGAAAATGGACATGATCTAAATTAATCATACATAATTTTTTAGTGACGTTCTATTTCAGTACCCTGCCATTGTCCCTGGTGTGCTGTCCGCATGTATTCGATCTGAAACAGTCGCTACTTTGCTGTCGAAAAATTTCGAATGTTTACATGAAAATAGAGGCAAGTCATGCATTTTACAACCTCGTAAACTTGTAATGGGTTAGCTGTGGCATGCGAAGGACATGCGCATTAATGTATTCGGGTTGTTGTTGCTATTCTGTTATTGTATTATTACGATCGATGATCTGATAGTACTCTGATCTTTCTGGCTATTACATGGTGTCAGGAGTCTCGAAAACCACTCCAACATTCAGTTAAAGGAACACCGGCCCTCGCTCATCAGTCAAGTTTGACTCAACTACGGATTTTGAACGATTTTTGCTCCTATAGGATATCACTTTTTAGTTTTACAAATATACACTACTGTACAAGACAAAAATAAGATTATCCCTACATATAGTGTCCAAAAAATGAGCAAAGATAGCGACAGGCCTATGTTTGATGCAAGTGCATCGGATCGTTGCCGTGCATTCAAGTTTTTCATAGCAAATTTCAGAGATTATTCTGTATTGGGAGACTATGTAGACCCCACGAAGGAAATTGACAGTAATGACTACTGGATAGCAGCGAAAAGACCAAAAGCGTTAGCTGCATTAAGGAGAGCCTTTCCTCAGGCAGAATGGGATGTGCTCACGACAACCATTGATGCCCAAATAGCAGCTGATGACAAGCTTAACCCAGCTAAGTGGCTCACACAGTTGTCCAACTATTATCTTGGGGGAGAACCCATAATACAAAGCACACACAACTTCCTTCACATTCTGAAACAGGAACCCGGCATGTCTGTTCAAGACTGGCACACCACAGTTAGACTGAACTACCAGAAATGTGACTTCCCATCAGCTGTGGATGACCGACTTCAACGTGACAATTTTGTAATCGGGCTGACTGACACGTACAAGCGTTTTCGTGGTGATGTTATTGCCCATGAAAGTTTTACAGCATTGAACTTTGCTCAAGTCATAGCAAAGGCCCGAGATTTTGAGGATGGCCTAAAAATGGAATTTGCCATCTCCCAACATCAGTTGGAAGAAACAGCTAACAGAGTTGCCTCCACCAAACCAATAAATTCTCGTCTATCAGGCAATTGTTCAGTTGCTGGTTCTACCACCTGTCGATGGTGTGGTCGATCACCTCACTCCAGCCGCAGTGCCTGCCCTGCAAAAAATGATACATGTCATAGTTGCGGAAAACGAGGATACTGGCAGCATGTGTGCAAAGGAAATTAAGCAAAAAATTATCTAATTCAGAACCTGATACCCACCCCGACCCACAAGTTACCCATGTCATTACTCATGATGTTTTCCAAGTGCGGCCTACACCCAAAGGCATCTTTGTAAACCTTGATGTCAGTCCACCTAATTATAATGCACCATTGTCCACCCACCGTGTCAAATTTCAAGTTGATTCTGACTGTTCCTGCAACACCATGCACATCACAGATATTGAAAAAATGAACAATGTTCAAATAACTCCATCTACTGTACATCTTCGAGACTATTCTAAGACTGCTATTCCCACCAAAGCCCAAGCTTCTCTTCACTGCATTCGCCGGGAAAAGGCTATGATATTGCGGTACAAGTTATCACATCAAAGTACTACTACACTCCTCTGTTGGGCCTGGCTGACAGAACTCGCATCGGCATACTCAACTATGATGTCGACACAGCTAACCAACTCGAAAGTAATCCTGAGCCAGTTGCTCCACCTGGTGAGTTAACACTCGATTATATCAAGCATGCTTATGGACATTTATTTGAGGGTTTAGGTGATCTGGAACTCCCCTTTCTCTCACCCTTAATCCTGACGTTCAACCTATTCAAGCCCCTCCACACCGCTTCTATGCAGCCAAATTGCCCATAATTAAGGAAGCCCTCGACAAACTCATTCGACCTGGACAGTACTAGTTAGTTCGAGTGAATAAACCTACACCCTGGATCTCCAATATGGTGGTGCGCGAGCGTCCCGCAACAACCACAAAACCTGCGAAAATGCGCATTTGTTTGGACCCCTCACAAACCGTTAACAAGGCAATAATCTGACCTGTGTATCCCATTCCCACCCTTGAAGAGAACATTCACCGGTTTCATCAGGCAAAGGTGTTCTCCACTTTTTATATTAAGGATGCTTTTTAAACCATCCAACTAACGAAAGAGTCTTCAATGCTGACTACCATGCATACTCCTTGGGGACGATACCGTTGGACTCGCCTACCCTTTGGCATCAGCTCCGCACCTGAGGAATTCCAGCGGCGCATCCATGATGTTCTTTGTGGCCTAGATGGAATCATCAACATTGCTGATGACATCATTGTGAGTCGTGGTGATTCTCTGCAGGCGGCCACTCGTGATCATGACCAAAGCCTACTCAAATTGTTAAAGCGCTTAACTTCGCACAACCTCACACTCAACCCAGACAAAATCACGTTTAAATCACACACAGCACCATTTATGGGCCACATACTTACCCCTGATGGTCTCAAACCCAGTGCAGAGGTTGCCAAAGCAGTTCATGAAATGCCCAAACCTGAAGACAAGGCCGCAACTCGCCATTTCCTGGGCACCATCACCTACCTGTTCAAGTTTCGCCCCAACCTCAGCGAGATAGTCCGTCCACTTCCGGACCTCACTCACATCAAACAAGAATTTATCTGGGCAGACCAACACTCTGAAGGATTTACAAAGGCTAAATAACTAGTCTCTACAGCTCCATGCCTCCGCTACTTTGATGTACACGCTCCGGTGGTACTCCAAGTTGATGCTTCAGATTATGGCCTTGGTGCCACATTACTTCAACCTAACACCAAACCCGAGGGCGCCAGTGATACTCAGTGACAACCTGTTGCTTACAGCTCCAGTTCACTCACACCTACTGAACAGCGATATGCCCATATAGAGAAAGAAACTCTGGCTATTGTCCATGCATTTCACAAGTTTGATCAGCTCCTTTTTGGAAAGTCTGATGTGACAGTCCACACTTATCACAAACCACCCGAAACCATATTTAACCGTCCCCTAGCTTCAGCTCCTCGTCGCCTCCAAAGCATGATGTAAGCTTACTCTTCAGCGCTATGCATTCAAAGTGGAGTATCACAAAGGTTCCACTCTGCTTCTTGCAGACACGCTTTCACGCGCTCCTTTACCTGCCACCACACACAAACCAGCCCATAATGAGATGGTGTACCGAGTGGATTTTGAGGCTGACAATCCTGATCTTTCCTGCTTTCAAGATGCTACTCTTCAAGAAATCAGAGCGGCAGTCCTCACTGATCCAGAAAAGATCGAGGTACAAGCTCTTGTTGAATCTGGTTGGCCAGCGCAGAAAGTTTCTGTTCTCGTTCCAGCACAACAATACTGGTCTGTCCGCCATTAACTCAAGTCACATGATGGCCTATTGTTTAAACAAGATCGGGTCATCGTTCCCTGTTCCATGCGCCAAACCATTCTGAACAAGCTCCATGCAGCCCATCGTGGTCCTGACTTCACCTTACGTCATGTTCGTAGCTGTGTGTTTTGGCCTGGTCTCACCAGTCAAATACGACCATGTGTAAAACTTGCATCACCTGTGCACAACATACCCAACAGCATCCTCGAGAACCTCTCCAGCCTTATCCAGTTCCCACCCTATCCTGGCAGCTGGTCTCTCAGGACTTGTTTGAGCTAAATGGCCGTGCTTATCTAGTGACAGTGGACCACTACAGTGACTTCTATGAAATCGACAGGCTTCCCACAATTCAGTCTTCAGCAGTCAGTCAAGCAGTCATTCAAGTCATAAAGAAGCGTTTTGTCGCTATGGTGTCCCACACACTCTTATAACTGACAATGGGACCCAATTTACCTCTGATTTATTTAAGACATTTGTAAACAATTACAACTTTTATCATATCACATCCTCTCCATACTGGTCCCAATCCAATGGTCGTGCTGAAGCAGCCGTTAAATCTGCCAAACACATCCTGCTTACTGCTGATGATTTCGACCTGGCATTGCTGTCTGTCCGCAACACTGCCCCTGCCGGACACATGTTCTCTCCAGCCCAACGCCTTTTTGGCGTGTGCTCCGCAGTAATCTCCCTCAACCATCATCCACTTTGCTGCCGTCTACACCGCCACATGATATTGTTGTGAAGGACCAGACCGAGCGCAAGTCGCAGCAGAAACGTGCTTATGATAAACGGGCAGGACCACCACTTCCACACCTTCTACCTGAAACCAAGGTCTTTGCCAAACCTCCCCCTACCTCTTCAGCTAAAGCTTGGATTCCTGGCAAAGTGATTGGCTCTGCTGGCCCAAGATCCTACATAATCAATACTGGTGCAAGTCATATACGACGAAATCGAACTCAGATTTAAGCAGCTCCTCCTGTTGAGACAGATGTGTCTCCATCGAACTCCAAGCCAATGCTCCCAGACGAAATTATTCCTAATGAACTAACAGCCCAGACGCCATTGTTTCACACCCTTCCAGGTCCATTGCAAAACACACGGTCCCGAAATCCCGAGTCACTAATACCAACAACCACAGAGCCCCAAACTGCCCCTCTGAGATTTCCTGGTAGTGAATTAATCCAATCCACCTGGCTCCCCTGCTGTACGATCACCTCACACTGTAACCCGCAGTGGCCGTGTTATTCGACGTCCTTCCCGCTATTCGGACTGAGATACTGACATGTACATATTCTGTTTCTTTCAGATAACACTTACCCTGTCTTGTAACACATCACACCAATGGACACCACTCGTACTGTTTCAAGATACTCTGTTTATTTTATATTAGTATTATAAATGTTCTTGTTGATAACTGCAGTTCAGAAAGTTTAGTTTAGAAACACTTTAAAGAAGAAAGCGTGTAATGGGCTAGCTGTGGCATGCGAAGGACATGCGCATTAATGTATTCGGGTTGTTGTTGCTATTCCTTTATTGTATTATTACAACGATCGATGATCTGATATTACTCTGATCTTTCTGGCTATTACAAATTGTATGAGCCCCTATTTTTACGCCTATATCTAAGATATCAAATAAAAATACATGAAACAGAGAACATTTTTAGAAAGTTTTATCGTGAGGCCACGGCAGTTTTTAAAATATCTTTGTTTCTGTTCCGTTCATCACCAAAATTACACTAAAGCCGGGCTTGAATCAGTGTTTCCACTTTCAAGGAAATTTCCTTTTTCAAGGAAATTTTGACCGAAAAAAGACGTTTCAAGGAAAAAAAGGAATCAAGGAAATCTAAGGAATTTTTGAAAATTGTAAGGAAATTTAAGGAATTTTTTAATCAACTGAAATGTTTTGAAGATTCTTTCAGGAACCTTTCATTAAATTTAAATTATATTACTTTCCTTCGTTCATAACCAATATGTCTGTGTGCAAAAATGAAAAAACCTCTTTCGGAGCCTGTAAACGAGTCAGTAGAATCTAGAATTTTAATTCAACTAAGTAGGCTGCACACAACCTGAATTTTAGGCGGAAATCAACTAGCGTGCTGTGTGCAGGCTACCACGTGTTGGTTATATGAATTTATTTGTCATGTGAATTTGTTGACTATTGAGAACAATATTTTAAAAAACTCTAGTATTTTACATTTTAAAGCTTTCAAAATTGTTGTGTAAAGGCTTTGTTTTTAAGAGTTGAACGAAAGAAATATACCATTCTGTTTCTGTCTTACTTTGTATAAGTATTGATGAATTCTAGTTGCCGAAAGATATTTCAAGGAAATTTCAAGGAAATTACATCCCATTTCAAGGAAATTCAAGGAAATTTTAAAGCAAAATCAAGGAAATTTGAATGATGCCTTGTGGAAACACTGGCTTGAATATACAATAAATTTTGAATCTCATCAAGATTCAAGTACAAAAATATTTAACGTGTAACCAAAATATGCTCATGAAATCGAAATTAATAGCTAAATTTTCAAACTAGACCCTTCTCGAAGCGGTTTTCATGAAGAAAGTTCACATTTCGACCTTTGATTTTTGGCAAAAATTTGACCACAACACGTGCGAAGCAACTGGGTCTGAAAGACGTAGCTAAAACATTGTGAGCCCCTATTTTCCTGACGATATGTTTGATACCTACAAACGCCGAAAATTTTTTTCTTTTCATTTAGCTATATTTAAAATTGAGGCCACGGGCTATTTTTGAGAAAATACAGTTCAAAGTCAAGCTATTTTTACATATTTTCAAAATTTGTCAAATTTCGCGAGCTTGTATTTTGAACTTAGACAGATGAAGTTACATTAAGAAACATAGGATGGAAAATTTGAGGCATATAAAGTTAATTTCAACTTACATTTCATTCTCATATCACGTCTTTCTTCGTTTACTACGGTTTTAAACAAGCCACAGCTCGACGTATACGGTATTTTAATACTCCCATGTTCACGTCGCCATATTAGAGAGGTTATACCCCGATTCCGGTTTACGGGTACGGGTGACATACAAATCGGGGAATAATTTGTAACTTAAGGTTACAGAACACCTTTGAGTGTTAATTTTGCCTAAATTTTTTTTATTGGTTTCCCTGAAAGCATTAGACTAGTTCTACTATCTGACCAAGTTTGAACGAAAAATGTTGAAAACTCGCAGAGTTATTTAATAAAATACATTTCGCTGCAATAAGAAAATCATTGAAAATGTAATATTCAAATTCCATTTTCTCCCGAAAAAGTTTACGCTAATTATCAAACGAGTTGTGCTCCTGCAGGTTTTAACTAATTTTTCTCAAATTTTCACAGGACATAGCCAAAGACGTCAGTTTCTTGTGTTCGGCTTTTTTTTAATTTTGGATATTTTAAAAATAAAGAGCAATTCACTCAAACAATTCAGAAATATATTGCATTGAAATATGAAATATATTAGAAATCACCATATCAGCGGAATAACGAAATAAACAAAAATTTCCGAACATAATTTTTTAGAACAACTAGTTGACTGTATAAAAATGATATTTTCATAAATATAACTTAAAACTAGCAGGAGCACAACTCAAAAGCGTAAAGGTACCGCGATTTAAGATTTTCCTGAATAATTCTTACATTATTTTGTTTGTCAATTTTACAACTTTACCATATTTTGAGTAGTAGGAACCTCACCCCCACCCCCACCCCCAGGGTGACAAAAAGACTAATTAACCACTACTGCGCACCCCTCCCGCGCATACCGATGACGTCACTTCCGGTCCACCGCAATCAGCCTTGCCAAACTTGCCCAGAACTATGACGTCACTTCCGGTTTACAAAAACCGCACAACCGATGACGTCATCACGCCCTCCACAAATCCCCCGCCGGCCGCCCCACGCTTTGGGTATTCTCGCCGAAGTCTTACATAAACCTTCCCCAAGTCTTCCCTAAGCCTTCCCTAAGCCTTTCCTAAGCCTTCCCTAAGTCTTCCCCAAGTCTTCCCTAAGCCTTAAGTCCCTAAGCCTTTCCTAAGCCTTCCCTAAGTCTTCCCTAAGTTTTGCCTAAGTTTTCCTTAAGTCTTGCCTAAGTCTTCCCAAAGCCTACCCAAACCCTCCCCAAACCCTCCCCACCGCGCACCCCCTTCTGCGCAGATTTGGATCGCGTGATCTATGACGTCACTTCCGGTTGAAAGAAAAAGCTGTGTCAGCAGTTTTAAAATTTTTTTTTGGTATATAATAAAAGGGTATCATTTCCTTATCTTGTCCACAGACCCTACAACCTTGGACCAGCATCTTTCCTATTTCCAAACCCTTTGGGTTTGAAAAAAGGCTGAATCAGCATTTCTGGGGAAAAAAAAGTTTCTATATAATAAAGGAAAGATGTCTGAAGGTTCCAGAAAAATCACAGATAGAATAAGGGAATGGTACAACTGGCTAACCACCCACGTACCATCATCCATCAGGAAGGGCGTGTCCGACGCTTTTAACACCATGAGGCAAAAGGTTGTAAAACTGTACAGCGACAAAGAGGAAGAAGACCAGTGGTACGACGCAAGGGAGAACTTTAGCGACGAGGACGAACAGTGGTACGACGTCAATCCGGAAGAGGACCTGAAACCCGTCCCGACCAAGCGTGGTATAAAAGGGAGGGTAAAGAAGTATGTCATCAACCCCAACGGGTCGTACGACCCGGTCCACTTCCTCGATATCACAAAGGACGAGGTCGAGACGCTTATAAATTCCGAAACAGAACCAAGGAATGTTAGCGTGTCCTTAGCATGCGAGATGGTAAGGAACGACCCGAAAACAGAGGAAGAAGTATCCGTGGTCGCACACTTCAGATCGAAGACACACAAACTCGTCGGTACGGATGACACGGAAGAGTCTTTTAACACCATGAAGGAAAAGATGCTAAAATCCTTTTCCGAATACCAGAAGCGTGGTAGCGGGTGGAGGCTTCGGAGGGTAGATCTGCTCGAAATTCATATCGGAGAATACCAGCCGTTAAGAGGAAAGGGTTACGTACCATTATCCGAGACGATCAGGAAGAAGAAAGCGATCATCAATATGAAGAACGACGACGACGAATGTTTTAAGTGGGCTGTGACCCGCGCACTGAATCCTATAAACATCCATCCGGAAAGAATTTCAAAGGAACTCAAGGAACAGTCCAGAAAGCTAGACTGGAAAGGGATAGAGTTCCCAACACCCCGGGACAATATCAAAAAGTTTGAAAAGAACAACAACATCGGTGTTAACGTGTTTGGGCTTGACGGATGTCATAAGGTATGTCCCTAGCGAATATCCGGCAGTGTCGATTCCATAAACCTCTTCCTGTGGAAGAACCACTATAGTGTCATCAAGGATATGTCGAGACTTGTAGGCGAACAGGTTAACGATCATGGACACAAAAAACACATCTGTAACCGTTGCCTCAACGCATTCGGATCGAGTGAACTTTTGGAGAAACATCTGAAGTTATGTTCGAACAATAATTATCAGAGACACGAGTATCCGGAACCCGGTACTACTACGGAGTTTAAAAATTACGAAAGAACACAAACCGTTCCGTTTGTCATCTATGCGGACTTCGAATGCTACATCGAAGGGATGGACACGGTTGGGCGAAACCCCAACAGATCAAGTACCACTCAATACCAAAAGCACAACCCCAGCGGATTCTGTTACTACGTCAAGTGTTTCGACAATTCCATTTACGGACCCAAGCTGGTACACTATACCCAACAACACGAGGGAGAAGACGTTACTAAAAAGTTTGTGGATATTTTGGAAGAGGAAGTCCATGATATATACAACAGGTTCAAATTCAAGGAACCTATCAAGATGTTTTTCAAAGATACCGAAAATTATGAAAGGGCAACTGTCTGTTATTCGTGTGGAAAGGAATTCACTACGAAAGACGGCAAGGTAAGGGATTATTGTCATTATACGGAAGCGTACAGGGGTGCGACACACAATACGTGTAATTTAAAAATGAGAAAGTCGAGATTCATCCCGGTACTTTTTCATAACCTCGAAGGATACGATGCTCATCTATTTATCAGAAACCTTGGGGTAAGTAGTGGAGACATCAAATGTATTCCTAAAACGGAAGAAAAGTACATTTCCTTTACTAAGGAGATAGAGGTTGGTAAGTTTACCGACGAAAACGGAAAGGAGAAGAAGGTCAAAAGAGAGCTAAGGTTCATTGACTCGTTCAAGTTTATGGCAAGCTCCCTGGACAAGCTCGTTAAGGGTTTGGGTAAGGACGACTTCAAAAATTTGGATTTGATGACGGGTCGTAGCACTAAGGAACGGAGGGAGTTGCTTAAACAGAAGGGTGTTTACCCTTATGAATATATGGATGGTTTTGAGAGGCTTAAAGAAACATCGCTCCCACCGAAGGAGAAATTTTTCAGCAAGCTTAACAACGAAAACATAAGTGACACAATTACGAAAGAGCCTGGAACGTATGGAATACCTTCAACATGAAAACCATGAGGAACTATCACGATCTGTACCTGATAACGGACGTCCTCCTTCTGACAGATGTAATGGAAAACTTTAGAAAGGTTTGTAAGACCAACTACGGATTGGATCCAATGTGGTACTACACAGCACCCGGGCTGGCATGGGACGCTCCGCTGAAGTTAACCGGTGTGGAGCTGGACCTCATATCCGATCCGGATATGTACCTATTCATCGAAAAGTGTATTCGGGGCGGGATCAGCACTATTACCAAAAGGTATGCCAAGGCAGATAATAAGTATATCAAACTTTCTAAGAACCTAACCTGGTTGGAAAGATTCAAGAAGTGGATGGGAAAAAAGTTTTCCTGTCTATCAGCCGTAGTCATATCTATGGTCGGCACGATTGTCACAATCATTACCGGTACGAAACTGGTGGTTGGTTGTGACGACGAAGAGCGGTCCACATACCTCCCCTATATGGATGCGAACAACCTGTACGGATGGGCAATGAGTCAACCCCTACCCATCAAGGACTTCAAATGGATGGACGACGAAGAACTGGAGAAGTGGACAGACTACAGCTGCATCCTCGAAGTGGATCTGGAATATCCAGACGAACTACACGATCAACATAACGAATACCCCCTCGCGCCAGAAAGGATGATGGTTAACAAGGTGGAAAAGCTCATTCCGAATCTCAACAACAAGGAAAAATACGTCCTTCACCACAAGAACCTAAGACAGTACCTGAGCCTGGGGTTTTAACTAAGATTCACCGTGGACTGAAATTCTACGAAAAGCCCTGGATGAATGAATATATCCAACTCAACACGGACCTGCGTACCAAAGGTACTACAGACTTCGAGAAGGACTACTTCAAGCTTATGAACAACTCGGTATTCGGAAAGACGATGGAGAACGTTAGTAATAGGGTTGACATCAGACTCGTTAACGACGAGGAGAAGTGGAACAAGCTGGCTCAAAAGCAAAACTACAAATCTGCGACCATCCTTTCCGAAAACCTAGTGGCAGTTCATATGATGAAGACATCCGTAAAACTGAATAAACCTATATACTTGGGGATGAGCATTCTTGACATCAGTGAGACCCTCATGTACGACTTCCACTACAACTACATTAAACCAAAGTATGAGGATGATGCCAGGCTCCTATTCACGGACACGGACTCCCTATGCTACGAAATTAAGACCGAGGATTTCTTCAAGGGCATATCCGAAGATGCCTACGAAAGATTCGACACCAGCAATCTAGGTAAGAACCACCCGTCCGGAATCCAAACGGGTGTAAACAAAAAAGTCATCGGGATGATGAAGCTGGAAACGGGTGCAAAACAAATTGAAGAGTTTGTGGGATTAAGGTCAAAGCTATATGCTTACAAAATGGCGGAAGACGGTGGTGAGGAGAAAAAGTGTAAGGGAGTCAAGAAAGTAGTCATCAGAAAAGAAATAACATTCAAAAATTATAAAGAATGTCTCTTCAGCGGTGAGAAACAATGGAGGGGAATGAATGTCTTCAGAAGTAGGTTACACAAAATATATACGGAAAGGGTTGTTAAGGTAGCCATATCAGCCGACGATGACAAGAGGATAATTATGAATGATGGAATCCGCACGCTAGCAGTCGGACACAAAAGCCTAAGAGAGTAGAAACCGATTTTAATATTCGAAGGAACATTAAAATTCCGACGGGTCTACAGTAATTTTGTAATTACGAATCCGGACCCCAATCCCAATATTCCAATCGTGATCTGTTGGTATTCTTCCATTTCGCTCGATGGTTTGTAGTAATCGTGAATCGTCGGTTCTTTGTCCAGGGTCAGTTCCTCCTGCGCTTTCTGCAGGGAGTCAAGAGCACGGTTTGTCGTTTCCATATCCGATTTGGCGTCGGCTAGTTCCTGCCTGAGTACTGCAATTCTGTTCTTTTCTTCCACTTGACTTTCGTACCATTTTTCCTTAGCCTTGGCTAATTTTTCCAGCGCTTTGTTGTGTCTTTTCATTTCGGCCTCGTACCCGCTGTGGTTCAGTTTGCTGAACAGGTATCCGGCTCCTGCGAATGCTACGGCGTTGAATAGTCTTCCAACTACAACACTTGTCATCTTCTTTTATTATAGTGGTTTATTTGAATGGATCATCCGGTACTAGTTTTTTGAACTGTACGTAGTGGACTCCAACCGCACCGACTCCAAGGGCTACGGCTAGGTTTAGAATTCCTTTCGGACTACTAGGTACTCCGAGATTGTCACCTGCAAATTTTTTGCTTACCACGGACACAGCGACTGCGCCGAGCGTAATAAGTCCGGCGTCGAAGGCTTCGTTCATAAAGTCCTTTCTATCTCCCATGTTTTATTATATGTGTTCTTATTTATTTTTCCTTTTCCTGTATTCATTATACAAGAAGTAAGTTAATGCTAAGGCTAAAATCCAAAGATTCTTCGCCAGGAACGCAATACCCTTTGCTCCCCATGACAGAACCTTAGCGATTAGGTTTAGTACGGATGCTAGTACGGGTCCAACCTTTCCAGCCAGGTTTGCCATTGCTTTTGCGAACTTACTCGTTGCTCTCGCTCCCTTTTTTGCTACGCTTCTAGCCCCCATAATAATAGTGGTGATGATACCAGCCATAGATATTGCTACGGCTGATATTCCGGCTATTTTTTCCTTTGCCCATTTCTTAAATCTTTCGAACCTCGTAAGATCGTTTATTTCCACCTCCTCTTCCACGATGGACATGGCTTTCGGTCCTTTTGGTCGTTCGTTTGATCTTAACCTTATTTCATCCGCTTTCAATTCTGCCATGTTTGCCATTGCTTCGTACAGGAGAGCCTTTTGTTCACGTCCTGCAGTTCGTTCGGTTTCGGCCAGTTCTTTCCAATGATTTTTTCCACCTCAAGATGCTCAATTTTTTGCTTACCCGAGTTTCCTTTTACGTTCAGGATACCTCTCAGTTCCCTTAGTTAGTTTTCCGTTATAACTGTACTATTACCGATAGCTTCGCTTTGAACGGACAGTTCGTCATCCATTCTTTCAACGATATTTTCCAGTACGTTATCCACAAGTTCTTGAGAAGCATCCAGGTTCTGTCGTTCGAGTTGTTCCTCCACTAAGGCTGCGGGTGTTTTTGAATGTTCTATTTTGGCTCTCCTGATCACTTCTTTGTATTCGTTTACGACGGATTCCTTTTTCTTATCCGCGGAGTATATCATTTTACCATTTTTCGAGATAATGATCTTGACATCTTTGAATGTAGCACCGCTAATTTTTGTTCCGGCCTTATTTACGGTCAGTTTCATTTTGTCAAAGATGATGTTGGAAGATGGACCGTCTCCCTTATTGATATTTACTCCTAGTTCTCTTTTGAGGAAATCCTTTTTATCTAGCGTATAGGCTCGTTTCATTACCCCAGCGTCCCGTCTGATGTTCGGTGTGGAACCGCTGGGTCTTGATCCATCGACGTCCGGATTGAATCCGATGGGAATTAATATACTTTCATCTCGCCTTCTGTCGTCGTCGATGAAGCTTGTTTCTTCCTCCGCCGTTCCGGCTTCTTTGGCTTCGTGGTCGTCAACGCCATTTGTTTCATCTAGTTCAATGTCGGCCATTTATTTTATATCCTTAATATTTTCTTCTGGAATCCAGGAATTGTGCTTACTATTGTATCCTAACCACTTGACCAGTACCATACCCTTCCTTCTTCTCAGAATCTTCTCCACCCTATACACATCGTCCTTTTTGTCCACAGCGGATAGTTCCTCTTCGTAGAACTTTCCGATGATCGGTTCTCCGTCATGACTTTCTATTTCGTACATATTAGGATTTCCCCTGAATACTTTTACAACTTTGAATATCTCTTCCGTAAAGTTTGCTTCGTATCCCTTGGTAAAGATATTTTTATATTTCGTTATTCGGACCGTATCATCAACCCTAAACTTAGGTAATGGAAATTCCCCTAATCCGTGTCCGTATAGCGTGATCCATACCTGGTCCTTGTTCGACTTGCTTACGTCGGCAGGTCTCATTAGTATACTGCCGTGTTTAGTATGATTGTAGTTGTCCGTAAGCTCGTCTATGGCGTCGACCCAATTGTAAGTTCCTTTGCTGTAGAAATACTTCCACATCATTGTCTTCAAGGTTCTGTTGAATCTTTCAACGATGGCTGCCTTTCTGTCAGAGTTCGTGGAAAAATAGCGGACGTCGTGTTTTTGTAAGAGGTCCCTAACATCAACGTTGTAGAACTCCTTTCCCTCGTCAAACTGAGCAACTTCCGGATATTTTCCAAACCTTTTCCTGAATTCCCCCAGTAACAGGTTCACAGCCTTCGTCATGTTTTTCGTATCCTTTCTGTAGACGGGAATGGCAAATCCGTACCGGCTCAGGATCTCGACAGCTGTTAGTATCCAGTAATATCCTTTGTTCTGGTTTTTGTATTTTCCCATATCCACTAGATCCATCTGCACCTGGTCCGCTAGGTCCTTAACGAATGTCCTCTGAAATTTGTGCTTTCTAACGATAGGTTTATACCTTGTATAGGTGTCTTGGGTCTTTAACCAGTCCTTCACTATTTTTCGACTAACGTCCAGTCCCTCCTCCTTTGCCTTACGGTAAAGCTTCTCCGCGGATTGATAACCGGTACCTGGATTGTAGTAAATATCTCTTAACCCTTGTTCGGTAATAAAGTGCTCGTCTTCCATTTTATTTATGTGATATAAAATTCGAGGAGTGCGGACATATCGACCTTATCGTTGATGTTCGTATTGATACTGAAGGAAAATCTGTTGTGGGAACCGTTATTGACATAAACCCTACTTCCAATATCCTTGAAAAACGTTGTTGTTCCGTTCAGATGCTGGTCAGATCAGGGGCGGATCCAGGATTTTTCGTACGTTAGTCAAAGTTTTCGGATGTACAATCTAGTTTTGCGGGCGGCGAATGCGCGAGGCACCTAGGGGGGTTTTGTTTCCCAGGAATTTTTATATTTTTAAACCTCCGAAACGCAATTTGCATCACTCTAAAAGCAGCTTCAACAAAAAATTAACTTCATGAAATGGGAGATAATTATAGCAACTATCAGTCTGACTGACTCTCACAACTCGCTCCTTAGGGAAAAGT